ATTTGTTTTTGGACCACCTTCTCTCCCAGAAGGGACTCAGGGTGGTTGAGTGTTATCCCGCGTTGTCCGATTTGGGTGCCTTGCGTGAAGTGAGACTGAGCCATGTCCCATGTCCCCATTTTTCCTCCTCCTCCTCCTTCCTCCCCAGGTGAGCTACTACTTCCCCCTGAAGACACTGTGGCGCTCCTTCTTCGCTGCCTTGGTGGCCGCCTTCACCCTGCGCTCCATCAACCCCTTTGGCAACAGCCGCCTGGTACTCTTCTACGTGGAGTTCCACACGCCGTGGCACCTCCTGGAGCTGGTGCCCTTTGTGCTGCTGGGGATCTTCGGGGGCCTTTGGGGGGCCTTCTTCATCCGCAGCAACATCGCCTGGTGCCGCCGGCGCAAGACCACTCGCTTGGGCCGCTTCCCCGTGACGGAGGTGATGGCGGTCACGGCGCTGACGGCTCTGCTGGCCTTCCCCAACGAATACACCCGCATGAGCACCAGTGAGCTCATCTCCGAGCTCTTCAATGACTGCAGCCTTCTGGATGCCTCCCAGCTCTGCGACTACAGCAACGACTACAACAGCACCAAAGGCGGCAACCTGCCCAACCGGGCCGCTGGCAGTGGGGTCCGCACTGCCATGTGGAAGCTAGCCCTGGCACTGCTCCTCAAAGCCTTCATCACCATCTTCACCTTTGGCATGAAGGTCAGTTGGAAGCACACCAGAAGGGGAGGAACCTTGGGGCCCTACCATGAAGGAGGGGGTGGGTAATGGAGAAAGTGCTGGAATGATGAGAAAAGCACCAGGAATTTTTGTAAAATTTGTCTTTTGCAACTACTCATCCTTTTTTATCTTCTCCTTCCCTTTCCCCTTTCTCTTCCTCCTCCCCTCCTCCTCCCCTTTCCCTTCTTTCTCCTCCACTTCTCCTCCTCCTTCTCCCACTTTCTTTCTCCATTTCTCATCTCCTCTCTCCTTCTTCTCCCCCTTTCCCTTCTTTCTCTCCTCCTCCTCCTCTTCTTCTCTCTCCTTCTTCTCCTCCTTTTCCCTTCTTTCTTCTCTTCCATTCCTCCTCCTCTCTCTCCTCCTCCCCCTTTCCCTTCTTTCTCCTCCATTTCTCCTCTCCTCTCCTCCTCCTCTTCTCTTCTCCCCTCCTCTTCTCTCCTCCTTCTCCCCCCTTTCCCTTCTTTCTCCTCCTCTCCTCCTCCTTCCTTCCTCCTTCTCCTCCTCCTTTCCCTCTTTCTCCTCCTTTTCTCCTTTCCCTTTTTCCTCCTTTTCTCCTCCTCCTCTCCTCTCCCTTCTCCCCTTTCCCTTTTCTTCCTCTTTCCTCCTCCTCTCTCCTTCTTCTCCCCTTTCCCTTCTTCTCTCCTCTCCTCTCTCCTTCCTTCTCCCCCTCCCTTTCCCTTCTTTCTCCTCCATTTTCTTCCTCCTCCTCTCCTCTCTCCCTCTTCTCTCCCTTTCCCTTCCTTCTCTCTCCTCCTCTCCTCTCTTCCTTCTCCCCTTTCCTTCTTTCTCTCTCTTCTCCCTCCTCTCCTCTTCCTTCTCCCCCTTTCCTCTTTCTCTCCTTCTCCTCCCTCTCTCCTCCTCTCTCTCCTCTCTTCTTCTCCTCTTCTCCCCCCTTTCCCTTCTTTCTCCACTTCTCCTCCTCCTTCTCCCCCTTTCCCTTCTTTCTCTTCCTCTTCTCCTCCTCCTCTTTCTTCTCCTTCTTTCTCCTCTTTCTCCTCCTTCTTCTCCTATTTCTTGTTTGTTTGTTTATTTATTTATTTATTTATTTATTTACAGTATTTATATTCTGCCCTTCTCATCCCGAAGGGGACTCATGGCAGAACATATACACACACGTATACATAGCAAACATTCAATGCCATTTTCTAGACAGACAAACAGACAGATAGAAGTATTTTTGGCATTTCTACTTCGGTGCCTGGTGTCTGGACGTTATCCTTGATTCCTGCCGTAGGGGAGAGCTGTCGCTTCATCCACTATGACACAGAGTCATTTGATTGTATTTCCTCCTTGCTCTTTGACCTCTGGCATTTTATGGTGTCGTAAAATACATGTAGTGTAACATGCACAGATATCTATAACAGCAGACTGCAAATCACAATTTCTATATTACAGGAAATTCTTCATTAAACGTAACGTGGGAACATTAACATGATTAATTAGTAACTGTTTATAAATGAAAGAATGTTTATCAATATTTTGTCAACACAATGAAACTTAAGTTTCCAAAAAAACAATTACTATATACCAGGAGATTCTTCATAAGTACATGATGTTAGAAATAGTAACTCAAATATTGTTAAATGCAATATAATGAGATTTCAGCTTCCAAAATAACAATGACTATATACCAGGATATTCTTCATAAGTACATGACGTCAGGAATAGTAACTCAAATATTGTTAAATGCAATATAATGAGATTACAGCTTCCAAAATAACAATTTCTATGTTGTAGAAGGTTCTTCATCAATATATAATGTCAGGAACAGTAACACAACAAGGTCTCCTGGGTTGAAATTATTATTTTGGAAGCTGAAATCTCATTAATCATGTTAATGTTCCCACATTACGTTTAATGGAAGAATTTTCTGTAATATAGAAATTGTGATTTGCAATCTGCAGTTTTTGTATTTATTTGTTGTAAAATACATCCCTGCCTAGGTGAACTGTAAGCTAGGCTTAACAGTCGAGTGCTCAATCCGACTGAGGCTTCAAACCTGTCACCTTCCAGTTAGCAGTGATTTATTGCAGCTGACGATTAACCAGCTGTGCTACAGCCCAGCCTACTCACTCTCCTAAGGCAACACTAGCTTTGGCCCACTAACTCTGACAGGCTTCGGCCTACTCACTCTCCTAAGGCAACACTAGCTTTGGCCCACTAACTCTGACAGGCTTCGGCCTACTCACTCTCCTAAGGCAACACTAGCTTTGGCCCACTAACTCTGACAGGCTTTGGCCTACTCACTCTCCTAAGGCAACACTAGCTTTGGCCCACTAACTCTGACAGGCTTCGGCCTACTCACTCTCCTAAGGCAACACTAGCTTTGGCCCACTAACTCTGACAGGCTTCGGCCTACTCACTCTCCTCTTAAGGCAACACTAGCTTTGCCCACTAACTCTGACAGGCTTCGGCCTACTCCCTCTCTTAAGGCAACACTAGCTTTGGCCCACTAACTCTGACAGGCTTCGGCCTACTCACTCTCCTAAAGCAACACTAGCTTTGCCCACTAACTCTGACAGGCTTCGGCCTACTCACTCTCTTAAGGCAACACTAGCTTTGGCCCACTAACTCTGACAGGCTTCGGCCTACTCACTCTCTTAAGGCAACACTAGCTTTGGCCCACTAACTCTGACAGGCTTCGGCCTACTCACTCTCCTAAGGCAACACTAGCTTTGGCCCACTAACTCTGACAGGCTTCGGCCTACTCACCTCTCCTAAGGCAACACTAGCTTTGGCCCACTAACTCTGACACGCTTCGGCCTACTCACTCTCCTAAGGCAACACTAGCTTTGGCCCACTAACTCTGACAGGCTTCGGCCTACTCACTCTCTTAAGGCAACACTAGCTTTGGCCCACTAACTCTGACAGGCTTCGGCCTACTCACTCTCTTAAGGCAACACTAGCTTTGGCCCACTAACTCTGACAGGCTTCGGCCTACTCACTCTCCTAAGGCAACACGAGCTTTGGCCCACTAACTCTGACAGGCTTCGGCCTACTCACTCTCCTAAGGCAACACTAGCTTTGGCCCACTAACTCTGACAGTTCATTTTAAATATTTCTGACATTTCTCCCCCTCATTTCCCTTCTTTCTCCTCCTCCTCTTCCTCCTCTCACTCCTCTTCCTTTCTCCACTTCTTCTCTTTCTCCTTCTTCTCCTTGTTCTTATCATATATTTATTTATATCCCACTTTTATCTCTGAGGTTGAGAAGCTTAGAACTGGAAGGGATCATAGAACCCTAGAGTAGGAAGAGACCCCAAAGGTCATCCAGTCCACCCCTTTCTGCCAAGCAGGAAATCACAATGAAAGCAACCTTGACAGATGGCCTTCCATCCTAATAAGAGCCATCTAGTTCAACTCCCTGGAGACCGCTATTACTAGGAGGGAGGCAGGGTTGATGGCTGAGGTCCTCCTTTGTTGTGCCTTTTGTGGATCTTTTGTGTTCTAGATGTGTGGGTTCCCTTCCAGGTGCCGTCGGGGCTCTTCATTCCCAGCATGGCAGTGGGGGCCATTGCGGGGCGACTCCTGGGGGTCGGCGTGGAGCAGCTGGCCTACTTCCACCACGACTGGGTCATCTTCAAGGGCTGGTGCAGCCCTGGTGCCGACTGCATCACCCCCGGCCTCTATGCCATGGTCGGGGCGGCCGCCTGTCTGGGTAAATGCAGGACTCTTGGTGTGCGCGGATGTGTCTTGGCTCCCAGTGCTTCTCAAGAAATGACTTCATGTTTTGCAGTGCTTAAAGTAGAGACTGTCTCTTTGGGAATTCAGATCAGGCAACACTGCGAAGCTGTGAGGATATCTAGTCCTGCTCCAGTTCATGGGTCTAGTCTAAGATTTTGGGAGTCTTGGTTATGGATTTTTCTGGATTTATGTTCATGTTTTGATTCTTGTTTTCAGGACCAATGCTCATGTTGACTCTTGTTTTCATGTACCTTTTGGATTATATGGATTATTGCCTCTCTAGGTCGCTTTTACTCCTCATGACACCTCTGTTTCCCGAGTTCACCTTGCCCTTAGCACCAACCAGGAATCAAAAAGCAGTAGTTTGGTAAAAATACGTACAAAAAGGGAAAAATCACCAAAAAGAAAAGAAAAGCAAAATCCAACAGGTAATAATAAAAAGTAGTCAATAAGTAAAAAGCCCACCAAGCTGGTGAGGAGTAAAGCACTTCAAAGGCAATAATCCATATAATCCAAAAGGTACATGAAAACAAGAGTCAACATGAACATAGATCCTGAAAACAAGAATCAAAACGTGACACATAAATCCAGAAAAATCCATAACCAAAACTTCCAAGATCTTAGACTAGACCCATGAACTGCAGCAGGACTAGATATCCTCACAGCTTTGCAGTGTTGCCTGATCTGAATTCCCAAAGAGACACTTTAAGGACTGCAAAACATGAAGTCATTTCTTTGACCTTGACTTTCCAGCTTGTAAAATTTTCTCTGTGTTTCCTTCTCATGAAGTCTCCCTAAAATCGAGCCTGATATCCCTGTCTAGCTCAGCTGTTCCCTTGGACGAGCTGCCTTGGTCTGACAGGTCTTTATCAGGGGTTGCTAAGCTCCTTGTGGACGAAAGGTCCGCTTCCCTATCTGCTGGACTCCAAAACATTTTCAAACTTCATCTCACAGACAGAATCTTGTTCTGAAATCCCCAGTGGGTTAAACCGCTGAACTGCTGAAATTGCTGACCAAAAGGTTGGCGGTTCGGATCCAGGGAGATGAGGTGAGATCCCATTGTTAGCTCCAGCTTCTGCCAACCTAGCAGTTCAAAAACATGCAAATGTGAGTAGATCATTAGGTACTGCTTCAGCAGGAAGGTAACAGCGCTCCATGCAGTCATTCTGGCCACATGACCTAGGAGGTGTCTACGGGCAACACCAGCTCTTCAGCTTAGAAATGGAGATGAGCACCACCTCCCAGAGTCAGAAAGGTCACTGCCCACCAAACCCTTACAGTATTTTCAGTTGGTCATGGGAGAACTGTGTGCCATGTTTGGTTCAATTCCATTGTTCAGAATGCTCTTTGATTGTAGGTGAACTATAAATCCCAGCAACTACAACTCCCAAATGTCAAGGTCTGTTTCCCCCAAACTCCATCAATGTTCACATTTGGACCTATTGAGTACCTGTGCCAAGTTTGGTCCAGATCCATCATTGTTTGAGTCCACAGTGCTCTCTGGATGTAGGTGAACTACAACTCCAAAACTCAAGGTCAATGCCCACCAAACCCTTCCAGTATTTTCCATTGATCATGGGAGTTCTGTGTGCCAAGTTTGGTTCAATTCTATTGTTGGTGGAATTCAGAATACTCTTTGATTGTAGGTGAATTATAAATCCCAGCAACTACAAGTCCCAAATGACAAAATCAATTCCCTCTCCAAACCCCAACAGTATTCAAATTTGAGCATATTGGGTATTTGTGCCAAATTTGTTTCACTGAATGAAAATACATTCTGCATATCAGATATTTACATCATGATTCATAACATTAGCAAAATTACAGTTGTGAAGTAGCGATGAAAATAATTTTATGGTTGGGGGTCACCAAACATGAGAACTTTATTAAGGGGTTGTGGCATTATGAAATTGAGAACCACTAGCTAATTGAGATGATCACCAACCCCCAGAGTTGGACATGACTGGACTTTATGTCAGGAAAACCTTTACCTTTACTTACTCTCATTGAAAGAACCATCCATCACTCTCCCAAGCTCTCCAGGCTCTGGAATCCCAATCTCCTCATCGTCATCTGGCTGAACCACAACATTACGTGACTCCAGGTGTATAGGGATATAAAATAGGTATAAAACCCAAACATTTACTGTTAACAAATTAGCATTGTCAGCATCTAAAGCAGGCACTAGTTGACATTCAGAAACCTTTAATGTTGCTAAATTTTTCAGGACCTTATTTAGTGTCAAGACTCCCAGTTTCAGAAGCCCCGATTCAGTTCATACACACAGGTCTTCTGGGGGATGTTTGCTTCCGTTAGCCCAAGCCAGGACAACCGACTTCTTTACACCAAAGTAGTAGCTTTTCCCCTTTGCTGGCTCATTCCCTGCATCCTTCAATGAAGGAAGGACTAACTGGTCCGCAGGGAGTACCCCGCAGCATCACACATGTGTACCCATGTCTTTCAGGTGGCGTGACCCGCATGACAGTCTCCCTGGTGGTCATCATGTTCGAGCTGACGGGCGGCCTGGAGTACATCGTGCCCCTGATGGCCGCCGCCATGACCAGCAAGTGGGTAGCAGACGCTATCGGCCGGGAGGGCATCTACGACGCCCACATCCGCCTGAACGGTTACCCATTCTTGGAGGCCAAGGAGGAGTTCTCCCACAAGACGCTGGCCATGGACGTCATGCGGCCCCGCCGCAGCGACCCACCCCTGACCGTCCTCACCCAGGACAGCATGGCTGTGGAGGATGCCGAAGCCCTGGTTGCAGAAACCACCTACAGCGGATACCCAGTGGTGGTCTCCCGGGAGTCCCAGCGCCTGGTGGGCTTCGTCCTCCGCAGAGACCTCATCATCTCCATCGGTGAGTATTGGAGAGAGAGAGGCACTGTCATTCCCTCTTCTGGATGTCACTTTAGGAAGGCGGTGGGCTGCCCTCTTTCACCAGAAGTTCACTAAATTTTCTGTATGGCAGGGGGATGGATAGGATTGGAATGGATCACTTTGAGAGGTCTCATTGGTCCCAAGAAGACCCTAGCGAGCTTCCTTGTGGCGAGAAAAAGTGGGGTACAAATAAACATAATATTAATGTATTGTCGAAGGAGCCCC